TTGCGTGCACGTCAGTCAAAGAGAGTAAAGAGTATAACACAATTACACAAAGAGTATAATAAGTATAGGGGATAAGAGTTGCCACTCGTCAAAAATTTATGCCAAACAATTTGAAACGCCATCTGAAAATTGGATACTAGTATTTTTTTTTTTTACTAACGTCTACAGATAATCCTATAGCTAATGCCAATACTACCAACAATGTACCTTGCAGGTTGGTACATTGAAGGTAGTATTGGAATTAGCTATGTCTGGTAGCTGCAAAATCAAAGAAGTTATTAATTACAATATTACATTTATTTTACAGTAAATACAAATTAACATTTAAACTGTCAAACACCAAGCGGTCACCGGTGACCGCAACCTATTGTTCTATAATTGTGTCTACAAAACCGGTACTCGACGAGTTAAAAATTATCAGCTACTAGGGGAAATATCAGACGATAGATTTGTTCAAAGTATAATTCTAATTTTAGTTCTTTTTAATTTTATGTTTACAGATTTCAGATATAAATATGTCGTTCAAAATTTATATGAAGTAGTTATTTTCTTAATTGTTGATCCCACAAAGAACTAAAATTAAAAATATTTACTGTTCACCGTTGTTTACATAGTACCTAATAGTAGTTAACAATCTAATGATATAAATTAACCGTAATACCTACACAAATGTAGTACATTTTACCATCGATTTGAATCGCTTTCAGTAAAAAGCTTTCAAAAACACAAAATTATTATACAATTTACATAACATAACATACATAACATTACGCCTTTTTATCCCCGAAGGGGTAGGCAGAGGTGCACATTTTGGCACTTAATGCGACTGTACAATGTAACACCCACTTTTCACTATTTATGTTATGAGTCCCATGTAATAGGGGGTGAGCCTATTGCCATATACCGGGCACATTTCCAGACTCTAATCTACTATTACTGAGATTTTTTAAAAACCCTGTAATACTTTGCCTGACCCGGGTATCGAACCCGAGACCCCTTGCCGCACTTGCGACCACTCGGCCAACGAGGCAGTTAATTTACAATTGCATTTAAAGTATGCAGTGAAATGGTATTTAAATATGTATATTAGTAAATAGCTCTCAAGCGTCGATATTTTAAAACTACATAAGCTTAAATTAGGTAGGTATTTCTTACCCATCTTCATACTACCCCTATGAACAAAAACACCCAAACAAACACAAGTGGTAAACAGAGTAAAGTGGTAAAAGTAAAATTAGTTAGATTTTGTAGCACAATATTTTTCGACATTATAATTATTATTCCCTTTATTTATTTTCATACTTGATTTAAATATTTTTAAATATTTCATTATATGTAAAAAAAAAAAAACATTTAAAAATATAAAAAGCAGTAGCCCACCGGTAACGGGAGAAATCCAAGGTACCGGTGGTCAGGGCTCCAGAGAAAGAAATTTCCGAACAATACGCGCCGTGTCCAGAAGTACTGCTTTCTGCATCAGGCAGAAAATTATTATTATTATTATTAATAAAAAAATATTATTATTATTATGCCGAAAAATAAAGTGCTTAAAAATAAGTTTCTGCCTCTCAGTCAGTCACAGTTTTTAAGTACTTTTTTTTGCTAGTCTAAATAATGCCTGACTTAGTAGTTTCCTATATCTAGTTTTTTATTTTTACAGTCATTTTTACTAAACAACTACAGATTTTTCCTATCCTCAAATATAATATTTTTATAACATTATAATGAAACAAAGTAAAATTATTATTATAAATATAAATGAAAATGAAACAGGCAAAATAACGTGGGGAATCCCAATTCAGACAGACATCACAGTTGCCCACAACAGACCGGACATATAATATACACAAACAACATCCAACACCACACAACTCTTTGACATAACTGTACCAAGTAACTACAACATAGGAGCAAAAGGAATTGAGAAGTTCAGTAAATACCACCTTTTAAAGACACAACTCAAGGCTAGACGCGTTGAAATATTGAAACGCATATTAATTCTATAGTAATTGGAGCCACAGAAGTAGGTACTAGCCAAAAGCCGCAGCAGATACACAGACAAACTAGAAACATAAATAGACATTAGCCACCATTCACACAATAATCATTCTTAGCAAAATACTAGGAGACACAGTTTTCATCACAAACATTCCAGATTCCGATCAATTACAACCATCTCAAGCGCAAACACCACATACCTACCACTCAGTCAACCATCACATAAAGCTCACAATCCACAACTGGCACACAAGCTACACCCACACAAAATTCAGAGCCACACACAAACAGTGTCAGTAGTCAAGTAGTCAGCAGAAGAGGAAGAAGGAGATTTAGAAGTCAAATTTAGGCTATGACCATCGTTTCTCCCGCGGGTCGCGGGAAGCGGTGCCCATTTTCACCAGGTCAACCCCAAGAAGGAGAGGCCTTCACGTATATGAATGCTGCCAGTCTTCGGCACCCTACTCCACGATAGCGTTTAATATTACTTTATTTCATTTTAATATTATAATTGTACTTAAAATGTTGTTCTATTTATGATCAGCGATCTATGGGTTTCTTGTTTCTTGAGACAACAATACGTCTGAATGGTAGAATAATTCCAAATAGTACCTGAAAAAAAAAACAAAGATTAATTTTACACGCAGAAATATGTATTTATATATTTATTTTCTTTTATTTATTAAAAGTAGGTGTACCTTATGTGATATTACTGATGTTACAAGAATAATATAGTATTTACCATCTCTCAAATAGGTTTCATAGGCACTGCTGGTATAAATGAGTGGTCGTTTTCATGGTTGTTGAGGGTGGTAAAACCGATGGTGTTGTCAAAATGTAAATCAAAGATGATGACTGCACGAAATCTTCAATAATCTTCATCTTTCTTCTTCTTCACAATTCATAAAAATTGCGCTTTGTTTCAATAAAGTAAGAAATGCACGATGCCATAAGAAAACTATATTATCTATATTAGAATTATATTACCTACTTTTGGAACCTAACTAACTACTGACTAAATTTGAGTATTTTGCAGTGAAGCCAAACCAACAAACTGCCTAGCATTATTATCATCAAGATAATCTGTCAGTTTGTAGTAAACTTGTTTACATAATTTGCGCTGAGTACCGTCATAATTGTGTCTACAAAACCGGTACTCGACGAGTTAATATATGTTTTTAAAATAACTATCGTGAGACATACTAAATTAAGTAAAAACGCGGGTTACTCACGTGAATATACTGAGAAAAGCTCTACTAGTTTCGAACTATAAGTGATTTGAAATGTTTTGATAATTTTTAA